ACAATCGTACACGGCCAACCACAGCACACAGCTTCCCTTCAGTCCAGCAATTCAAGGAGAGATGACCAAAAAACAACACACATTAACAAAGCTCCCTTCTTCTCATGTAGATATGAACTCCTGAATCAGCACACCAAGGTCACTTGTTGACAAGAACTACTGTGTGTCAGAGCCCTGGGGGCACTCGGAGGAACTGCTGGCCCCCAGAGCCTCCCCTCACCCTGCCCATGGCCCCAGGGCCCACTCCGGACCAACACATCAAACATGCTCCACATCAAACCTGCTCCACATCAAACCTGCACAGCCATGGGCTGACAGCCAGCACCCATCTTGGCCCATCCCCATCCCCTGGAAGGGCCCATGCCTGGGGCTGTCCTTGCTGCCCTGCTCCTGGCGCTGAGGACAGCCCTGAGCGTTCCTTGGGATCCCAACAGCTCCTGACCTGCAGGCAGCAGCCACCTGCACGGTGCTGAGATGTGATGGAGCATTATCATCACCAAATTGAAAAGCAAACAAACAAAAAGTTGCCCCCAATTATCACTGACTGCAATTAAATACGAGTGTAACTGGGAGCAGGAGATAAGCACGAGGCAAATGGTTGGTGAAACAGATTTCTGCAAGGTTTGCTCTCTGGCAGTAGGGAAGGAAAGGCAATCATGCTGCCACACTCACCTGGTTTTCTGCACTACTGTTCTCATTGCCCATTCTGATGCTGACGTCCAGTATCACAGAGCAATTAAAGAGACCACTGGAAGAAAAGAAAAAGCTCTTAGTCTTCTGTTAAACAAACAAAACAAAAAAGCTAAAAGCTATACATTTTGGAGGAGCATCATCTCAGTCACCTTGTCTGCTGCCCCTCCTGACCTTCAGTTTTACAATGATTTTAAATCACAGATTAGGGACGAGAGCTCTTTTGCAATCTCTCCCTGCTGCCTTTCCCACACTGGCTCTGCTTATGCTGACGGACACTCCCTGAAACTCAGCTTTGTTGCTCTGCTTCTGGATTATCCCATGTCATTTGAGCAGAAAGGCATTTTCCTTGCCAAACCTTCTTTGGATGGACAGCCCATATGAAAACTTTATTATGTTAACTGTATTCAAACCACTTTTCTATCCTAGAGACTCTGGACTGAGCCGCAGGCTCACTCTGCCTAGAACCACAACATTATACCTGGCTGTTCCTGTAACAGAAACGATTTCCCATGCATGCCCTCAATTTTAAAAGAGAAAAAATGTATTTTTTTTAATCCTTATTGCTGAAGTCTTACCATGCTTTACCAAGGCAATATTCTACTCACAATTTTATGACCTAAAACGCATTTTCTTTACACTTGACAGGATCTGCTCGCTTTAATTACTATTGGTTTTACACTGGTTCAACTCTAATTACCTAATTTCCAGAACAGTCAGCAGCAGCTCTGCAGGCAGTGCCTCCCCAGGCTCCATGCTTTCGCTGCATTTTAAAGGCTGCTCAGAAAGAGTGCGCACAACAGAGCTGCAGACATTTACTTCTTGTTGTAGACATTTCATTTTGGAGCTCAGGCATTTAAATTTGCTGTAATTGTATCATCAGGTGAATATTCCCTTCAATTTTTATTTTTATTTTTCTAAAGAACGTGAGATTGGTCCGTGGCACATGTCGAGAAAACCTCCATTAAAGCCAGGCTGACAGAGAAAGATTGCACATTGTTAGCCAAGAAAACCATACAAGTTTTTAAGGAATGTTATTACTTATTACTGCAGCACACTTTTTTTAGACTTGAAAGATTATTCTTCTTCACAGGAGGCTTGGAGGGAGAGGAGTTGAGCGCTGTGCTTATAAGCTATGCTCTGTTTAAACTTGAGTGTCTGCAGGGGATATACCGGTGCTTGAACTTGCTCCTGTTGAAATCCCTGGGACCAGGATTGCACTTTTAGTGATTAATTAGCAGCCCCAGCTTTTATCTGCTATGACTACTGCCAAATCCTCTGCTGTTTTAAAGTGCATAATATGGTTTCAAGGCTTCTGCACCAATGCCACGATATTGACTGTTAATAACAGCAACAACAAATAGAAGTTGAATTTGTCATACTCACTTGAAAGCAAAAATACTTTATTTATTGTTTTTTTATTAAAACGTTCAGGCACTGAATATAAAATTACAAAAAACATGGCTCGAAGTTTAGCTGTTGAAAATTTCCACCAATGTATCACGTTGTGTTTACCTACTCTTTTCTCTGCTTAGAGTATGAAGTTTCACAACAGCCACATAACTGCACATTAAAATTTTCTCAATAACAAAGATAAAAGTGATCAATAAGGAATAATGCATATATTCTCCACTAATCACAGAATCATAGAATCATTAAGGTTGAAAAAAACCTCCAGGATCTTCCAGTCCAACCCTCAATGAGATGTGAGAATGATAAGTGAGAGAACTGCACAGTAACAAAGATATTTCTTCAAATTACAATCTTATTTCCATCCTTTTTACATGCATTGTTTTTAAAATCATTTCTCAATGCACAAGCATTGCTTTCATTGTAAAATACGTGAGCTTTATCATATGTATGGAATTTCAAATCAACGTTATAAACATGCTAAAAATCCATTCATAAAATAAACATGGGTTCACTGAAAGATAATCTTTCTCATCTTCCTGCTCTATCTTTTGCAATTTACATGTCATTATTAAAATTCTGTTAGCACCACGTATCTCAAAAATGGCTCACTGGTACCAACTTGGACATCAGCCTACAGGGACTTCTGTATCTATACAGCAGAAAAACCGCTTCCCGGAAAATGAGAGGGAGACCATTTAGCTTTGCACTTACGTTCTGGCACAACCGGGCAGTGCTGGGTGCAGCGATGCTTTCAGAGCATGTCTTCAAACCCTTTCTCCCATCTTTACCTCGTGCGTTTTTGCCTTGTTTTCCTCCTGCCTCTCCTTGGCCCAACACGAAATGTAGGCTTTCTTTCAGGGACCCACCTTCATAACCTGCTCTGCAACCAGCCTGCCTCCACCCCAGGCAAAAAGCAAACGAGTTATTCCTCCTCCGCCCGGCCTCCCCCTGCTCTGCCGGGCTGCTGTGGCTCTGCCTTCCATAAATTTTCTGCTAATGGTTTTCAAATATGTCAGCCTGGAGAAAGCAGCCTTTGGTCAAAGCATATTTCACCGCTGGTGTCCCTTGGCCTACGGTAGGAGAGGTGCCTCTTGCACTGCAGTTATGCACGTGTTGCCAAGGGAAAATTAGTACAGGGGGGAATATCTGCTCTGCATCTTGTTTGTCTATTTCACGTTGCCCTTCATTTTATCTCACTACTGTTGAAAGCTCCTCTTGACAGGACAAGGGAAATTGGTTTCAAATTAGAACAGGGGAGATTTAGATTGGATATAAGGAAGAAGTCATTTATGATAATGGCCATGGGGCAGTGGCACAGGCTGCCCAAAAAGACAGTGATGCCCCTTTCCTGCAGACACCCAAGGTCAGGGGATAGGGATCTGAGCATCTGATGGAGCTGTGGGCATCCCTGCTCATTGCAGGGCATTGGTTGGACCAGATGGCTTTTAAATGTCCCTTCCAACTGAAATGATTCTGTGATGCTTTGAAATACCTGTTAATAGGTGCTCCTTTTCAAGTTATGCTGAAATCATTTCCAATACAATTGTCCGGAAGGGAGGAGATGTGACAGAAACCCTTTGAAATGTGATATTGCAAGAAGTACTGGTTCATGGACAAGCTAATTGCTGTTATTGATGTGCATTGTCTGTTCAAGCACAGCTTCACTGAGGGGTTCTCAGAAAGACAACTGATAAGAGAGGGCAGTGCAGCAGTGTTTCATCAGTGGTAACTCCAAGGGATTAATGTGTTTCTGCCCTCACCAGTGGTATTTGATAGTACACACAGCAAAGGAATAGCAAACTGTTGGGTTCCTGTACCTGGAAGAGCTGCACAGCAGCATTACTGAGGCCAGCACACTCAGTCCCTACCTGACATGAATAAGAGGCAGGAATTTCATGTGGCATCTATGTGCTGGGTCTGGCGTTCCTGTGGTCATTCTCTGCCTTGGTGTACAAACATCTGGGCTGAGAGCATGAGGTATGTGAAGGGCTGGAATGAACAGCTGCCAGAGTGCTGTGCCTTTACAAGCTCGTGTTTCTTAATGAAGTCAGTGAAGCCCCCAGCACCATGATAGCACCTTAATCCACAGCTACTGGTCAGAATTCTGCAGGTCAGAAACAAGTTATTTGTATTTCCTGAGCTTTTTCAGGTTTCATGCTAAGGTATACATGTGGGTAGGTTTAGTGGCATGGGGCTAAGACAAAGTGTCACATAAATCTGTGCTACATCTCAGAGAGCTCAAAATGAAAAAGTCACAGTCTATAGTGAAGCTCTGGAACTAAAATACATGAAAGCAGCTGTCAGATCACCTTTGTTCTGTTCTCCCCATCCTTTTTCATGACCCAGAAAATTGAAGTTCATCAAATTAAGGTTTTAGTACGTGCTGCCTTAGAAAATAAAATACAGCCACGGTGATATTCATTGCCTATAGACAATACATAATGAAATGTTTTTGTTTAGGCGCTCTGCCATGAATTTAAGAACAAGGATCCTGTGGGAGCTCAGGGAAGCACAAGCCTGACAATATATCCTCACTTCTGCTAGTTGGATTATTGCCTCATGCAGAAACTGAGCTCATATTTGGTGCTATTCCATTTCCAAAGCTAAGGCGAGAGAATGCCACGAGGTGAGAGCGAGGCAGCTGCCCTGCAAAACAACCATCTGGCAACATGTCGGGGAAACCAACCTTTTGGTAGACACTCATGATTTCTGGTTATATATTTGTCTTTTTTATCAACATGTGTGCAAGGGAGTAGCCCTCTCTCTGATGGGTGAACCTTATATAACTTTGCAGAGCCACGCAGACAGCTGCTCTGCTGCCAGCAATGAGTCACGAGGGAGCGACAGACGCACTATGAGCAGCAACTGCTCCGAGCTCCGGGCCCAGAACAGCTCTGTCAGACAACACTGACATTACATTTTGGCCTTTGACAGAGCTTCATCGGTTTTCTGACCCACTCTGGTGTCTCAGGCCCTGTCCCAACTATGCCAAGCAGCCTCTACTCACTGCTAGTAGTTCCAACCTATGCAGATGCTGCTCATCTGCTCTGTACCGGTAAGAGAAGTCAAATCAGTTTGCATAAACCATGACTTGTGAGAGCATTCTTCATTCTCTGATGTCTCAGTTTATTCTTTTTGATTCCACAACAGATGAAGATGAAGAAGTACTCACACTGGGCTGCTTTCCTGTGATCCCTCATCCACACTTCTTCCTGCAGGGAACTCCAAATCTTTCTTGGTCGAAAGAGGATCTAACCCAGGAGGATTGGAGGACTCTGAGTAGGGGAAAGCACAGCTCATTCTGAAAGGTGAGGTATGTATCTGGTTAATGAATTAAGCACTTCATTAAGATCCAAATAGCTTGGCATGCATTATTCTATTTAATCCTACTACATACAATATTTGGCATAATTACCAACCACACATTACTCAGATACCTCAGTTTTATACATAGAGTAAATGCTACCTGAAGTATTTATATGGGACAATTCAGTATGAGTTCAGTTTGCTTGATGGCAGAAGTGCTACCAAACAACACAGAACATTTTAATGTTTCTCATTTGTACATGACAGACGTGATACACCAAGCAATAAAAGACTGCTGGAGCACTGAGCATGAAGTCATGCACCAGCTGTTCTTGCAGGTAGGAGGAAAGAAAAGGGGAGTGCTCAGTATTTTACTCTTCTCTGATCTTGATATCACTGCTATAAAATAATTTGTATTTTCTGCGTATCAGAATAAAATTGTAGAGACTTCTGAGACTGACAGACGCCCTTTAGCCCTTGTTTCCTGCCCAATTCTAGAAGTGCAACCATCAAGATGTGGGAGGGAAATCATAATCCGATCATGACAGCTGGTGAACACGTAATGATTGAAAAGTGCACAGCTTGGCTCTGCTTAGCAACATCAGCAGCTGGATCCACTGTAAAATCGTGCTGCTGCTTGGCAACAACAAAAAAAAAGCTGAGCTGGCCTTTCGTGAGACTTGTGAAACGGTGTTTTGCTGCTCACCTCCCTAAAAGAATCAGAACTGGCTCACTGGCCTGCATGCTCAGGTAGAAGGTGGCTCTGTGGGTCCAGCTCTGCAGGGCAGCCTGGGCTGCCGGGCAGTGCGTGGTGTGCAAGAGTGCAGGAGGAGGAACAGGGGGACTCTGAGCACCTGCTATGATTTTATTTTTTTATAAACAAATTAAGGAAGTTCAAAACTATTCTTCCTATTTCTAACTAATTGCCAGCAGTGTAAGAACCTGGCATGGAAAAAATCTGATCTATGGCACTCCACCATCGCTTCCCATCAGGCTGTCCAGATTAGCAGTACTTTTAAGCAAAATTATTTCTAATTAGAAGTACTTCAGGACATTCCCACGCCATGGGTTCAGTGCAGCAGGGATCTGCCTGGGCACAAGCAGCGGTCAGGCTGCAGAGAGGGAGGGAAACGATTTTGTTATGGTGTGAAAGCTGCAAAAGATATTGTGATCCAAAATGTTTCTGATGGGATTCAAGGTATTGAAAAGTTTAATTCATGCTCAGGGCTGTGAAGCAGTGTTAAGGTGGCAGTGACAGTTTTATAAAGTGTCACTGGGGAGCTGTCATTAGGCATAGCACCCCTCCCTAAGCAGCATGGAGATGATCATTAATTTTATTTACATTCTACCCAAGAATATTTCTTTCATGCTGAAAATAAGCCTTTCATTTCAGCTCTTAACTGAAAGTATTTGGCACAATTTGAGAGTCCAAAAAATGTAGTCTAAATATTGGAGCACTTCTCTCTCCAAACCACACTTACAGCAGCATTTTTGTTTTTTACCAGGTTCCATGCACAGAACTGAAGGCAGTGGGAAGGCTGTTGGAGTTGGGGAAATGCAGCCCTGCACTGTAGCACTGACTCTCCAACTGTCCACAGCCAGTTCTGGGCACGGAGATGAGGACAAGGACTTCTCAGGTAGGTTCCCAATGCCACAATGCCACAAGGCAGTGAACAAGGCTTCCTCACATTTCACCTGCTGGTCTGTGCCTATCGTCACACAGGGCTGCATGTGATTTCCTTGTTATTACTGCCTGCCTTTTGTAAACAGCCAATTATGATTGATGACAAATACCTCACCTATGTTTAATCACGAGACACTCATGACTGCATAACCCAGGTCCATAGCCAACTTGGCAGAGCGCACGTTTGTTTTTGCACTCTAATGCACAGTCGTTGACTCAAAGGGAAGGATGCGTGCTCCTAAAGCTCAAAGATGAGGCAGAGAAACATTCCTCTGACTTGGGGTGAGTTCTGGAAGGAGCGTTGGCACCTCTGGAGCGAAGGGCACATTTTTGGAAGCACTGACAGATGGTTGTCCTGCTGCAGGGCCCAAGCACAGAGTTGGAGTGGCGGTACGCAGCTCAGAGACAAAAATCCACATTATTCTCATTCAAGATGTGCTGTGGTTTATCAGTCATGAGAACAAGCTATGAAAACAAGTCTCTTGGGAGACTGGTATGTCAAGATAATTTGTTAATAGCACGTCCTGGGCTTGGTTTCAGACTCTTGTCCAAGCAAGTGCACCAGGTCACAGCAGGGCTAATGCTGGGAACTGAGTCATTGGCCTCTGAAACAATCTTGCACTCAAGATAGTGTTGGGAAAGCCATGTGTCATTGTTTACAAATAGGCTGAAGGCAACTGAAAAAAAAATATTTACTTTGTAATGAAACTTGTGGAGTAACACCAACCTTCTGTTCTACGAAAACTGTTAGGTTACATAGGCACAATGCTTGCAGGTAGGTAGGATTGGTGATGGAAGTCCTTTACTGATTTATAAAGCAGGGTGACAATGACAACACTTTCCAAAGGGGAAACTGAGGCATAGAGGGGTTGAGTAATCAAGGCATCAATATGTTGTGTAATCCTGTACTAGGCTTGAAACCAGGGCTAGTGTTCAGCACTCAAAACAATGTGCATGGACTGCTTTAGGGACTTTTCTCAATGATGCTACATTGATTTAACCTTGCACAGAAAGACCCCATTGCATTTCAAGGCTACAGGACCTAAATACTTCCTTTAGGCTCATTTGTAAGTGTCAGCCAAGAACGTTTTTCTGCACAGCAGTGTCACAGAGGTATCATTAAAGACATCACAAACAAATAAACATATAAAGCAGTAAAGCTGAAATCCATTTGACATGCTAAAGATAATAACAGCATAATAATGAGTGCTTCCCTGTTGGCAATACAACTCTTCCATCATCTTTATAACGTTTTTGAAATGAATGTAATGAGTGAATGCTTAAGGTGAATGTCAATTATAAACCCATTTTTCCCCTTGACTCTGTTGACTCAACTAAGCAGGCATGCAAAACAAGACAATGAGGTCAGTTAGAGACAGTGTCCAAATTCTCTGTGATGATGATGATGATCTGGTGACAGTGATGGGTGCCAAAGACGCGTTTACTCTAAACTGGAGCTCTTGATGTTTGCTCCTGTGGTTGTGTCTTTTTTAAGAGATGATCTAATGGTGGGAAGCTGTCCTAGCAATCCTGGGGTGTTGGTGGAGATAAAGTTAACTAAGCCGCTCGCTGTTGTTACAGATGGCACAACTCTTCATCCTTTTGACAGACATAAACCTAATCAGCTTCTCCTAACGACAGATTTAAACTCATATAACATATTGCCTTGTCCAGCTGGGCTTACACTATTTATACTCGTGTTATCATTTTCCAATAATACAAACAATATCCAGTTTCAGAATTCCGCTCTTCATTTACAGCTGTATTTTCTGCATTAGTGTCTCCCCATCATTAGCAAATACTCAGCGCTCAGGCTTTGCAGGATTTTACCTCAGTCTTGCTTTTGATTTGGGGGGGTTTCCTGGAGACCAGGCTCAAAAAATAACTGTTGTTATGTATAACTAGGTGCTGAATTTACATTTTACATTTTTAAGCAAAGATTGTAATACCGAATGTAAAATTGGGAAGAAAATCTTCAGAAATCATCTGCAATATTGGCTTCCTGAGTCTGGAAACAGTTTAGTTCAAGATGTCAATTCCCCATTTAATCTCAATAAGATTTTAACACCAAAATCTAATTATGCATTTCGAACATCAGCTGTAGTTATTTTGGTTTTGGTCATTATGACAGATGGAACTTGACAGATGAACAGATGAAACTTGATTCCACAGTTGGTTTCTATTTATCTGCTATTTATCTATTTGTCATTGAGCTGTTCTTTCAGCCCTGGGAAAATTAAAAAAAGGTAATGAAGAGAATGGAAATAAGTAACATTGGTCCAGCTTTCTTCCAACTGCAACAACGATGTATGTAACCAGCTCTGTCACTTCAGTCCAGTGACTGGAGTCATGTTTGGATGTGGACTCCAAAGTGAAAATGATAATTCTCCCATTCACAACAGCTGTTTTTAAAGAATCACAAAGCACATGGAGATACCACTGAATGAAAAAATAACAACTCTAGTCCTAGCATGAAACTATGATCATTTCTTGTACCCAAAGAGTGGATAGTAACCGTATTTTAAGTTAATGCAGTGAGCACAAAATAAGGCTCACAGCTGTTTGTCCAGTTTAAAGGTCATATAAGGTTGGAGGATATGCACCCTCTGTAGCTACTGGGATAAACTGAACTGAGATTGTCTCTTCTTGTATCCAGATGTGATTATTCTTTTCTGGTGTGATCAAACATACATATACTGGAATTCACCAAGTATGGTGAAGGAATAGCATTATTTCTGATAAGTGCAAGAGCGTGTAGATTGACCCAAACCTCTTCAACCTTCAGCTACATAAGAACAGAACTTGCCATGGAAAGTTATTTTGAGACTGTACAATTCATTAAAGCAAAAGGCTTAAGCACCGTTTCCAAAACTCTTGAAACACTGAAATAATGCTGGGCCTAAATATAATGTGCATAACAACTAAGAAATGTTAAGGCTAGATTATTACAGTGCAAGAATGTCATCTTGAGTAAAAATATGCCGATGCTCCGTGCTCCTGATGCACATCACCTCTGATGAGAGCACTGAATGAGAAAGCCATCACAGAAACTGAAAAAAGACTTGAGGTACAGCTCATGAATTTATACGTCCCCCATCTCACTGCATCGTGCAGAGATTTTCATATGGGTTCCATAAAAGTGTGCAGCGCTCCAAATCTGTGGCTAAAAGCAGCTTTTTCTCATAAAGAAAGTGGTTAAGTGTAATTTTCAGTTTACAGTTGGAAGTGGCATGGAAACTGTGAGTAATAGACAATGCAACAAGTAGGCACGGAGCTTACTCCAACAGCTAGTAGCAATTACTGTAGTTTCAGTTCAATGTGCTGCATACGTAGTACACACAAAGAAATATTAAAAAAACCTCAAATCATGGTAGTCTAATTAAAAGCTTTTCCTATGAGGATGAAAAATAGGACAACAGCTCACACTATCCTAGGATAATATTAACAAAAGTGAAAGACAGCTATGTATAATACATCACACATAATGTTAGAGAATTCATAATCTGTATCAAGCAAAACCAAAATGGAGCTCATTAAAATCTAGGCGTGCAAGGTCTAGAACTGCAGATCTATTGAGCTGTGCTTTAACAATTAGGATTTTGATACTTGGGAGCTGCTGCTTTGTACTTTTCTTCTCTTTCTGCAGCAGTCTGCTTCTGGCTGCTGCAAGCAGGTGCTCATAATGCAAGAGTTTGATAGTATCAAAGATCACTGTGCTGCAGGAGACCTACACATATCTCTGCCTCTTTGAGAGGGTGAGAGAAAAGCTGACATCGAACCTTAAGAGCATGAGGTGGTGCTATTTGACTGACAGCTCAACAGAGTCACAGAAAATAGGGCTAAGGAGGTGTATATCTCCCCCCAGCTGTTTTTTTGGGTTTTTTTTCTTCCAGGTTTTACAGAAGAAACATATTTTGGGAATGGAAGAAAATGTCCTTAAGCTATTTTTCCTGAAGATCTACTTAGCAAATCCTTGCCACTTGGTCTAATTTGAGCACTTCAGTCAGATCTATTCTGCACACACTGCTATTGCATTGCCTCCTTCCTAAAGATTCCTGTTTTCCTTCATTATCACTAACGAGATCATCTTGCTTTCTTAATCACATTTATACTGGTTTTGTTTCCTTCTAAAACTCTTCTGTTGCAAATACAGCAATTGCTCACAGCCAAAAGAATTATTAGCATGAAACCTATCTCATTGTGGTTGGATAGCTAGAAAAAGTTTTTATGCTATACACCCAGCCTGCACGAATCAAGAGAATCTTTTCTGATTACTTACATTCAGAAAAGCAGATTTCATTTAGAAAAATTAAATCATTCTTACCTTTCACCCATGCAGACAGACTTTACTGCTAGGAGTTCTGTACAATTCCCCACAGCACACCGCTGCTCTGAATATGAAGCAAACAAACACAGCCTGATCCATTTGCAAGGACTCAGAGCTGGCTGAGCCTTGGTTTGCCCAAGCACCACGGGTGCTAGCTGGATCATATGCTTACTGTGAAACCAGAGAACTAAATGAGTCTGTCAAGTCCTAACTAGCATTTTATGACAAATTTATTTTGGCAAGAATGTGTAGTGCAGTATTGTGTCAGACTTGCTGAGCCTTATGTATTCTGTATCTGTCTTGATGGCTGACGTATTTTCACAGCATCCCACGTGCAAGAGTGTCTCATGGAAAACAACACAAATTAAGTCAAACTTTTATTTCACCCTGTGATCTTTAGAAGCCCATAGTTAAAAAGGATCGTGTCAAGAAAAACTACAATCTATGAAGTCTTTACTCTGACACTGGCTGTCAGCAGTGCGACTCTTCAGTCATTAATTGCGGCGGTTGAATGTAGAATCAATTGAATTTAAGCTCTTTAGTTGGGTTTAAGCTTAGATCAGAGACACGGGACAAAAGTTCACTCTCTTCAGTTCTGGAGTCGAGGGGCTTCTATATGTTTATTCCACTGGCATTACAAAACATAAAAGCTGATCTGACAGTTTTCTGAGGTGACTCCACCTCCCCACCTCTCCTGAGGATGGTCAGCTGTCAGTAGGAAAGCTTGCTTTCACCTTCCTCATGAGAAGAAGCAGCACAACACTGATTAAAAGCTGCCCAGAACTACAGGGCAGTCATTCTCTAATACTGCCACAGAAGATGAGAAGTGTAAGAGGATTTTAAAGAAAGCCTCAAGTGAGAAAAGGAATATCATTGATATTCTTCACAAATACCATCCTCCTTCCTACCCTCCAGATGAATGGAAGCTGGAAATGAATGTAGGGAGCCCACCTCGATCTGGAGGTTGTCTGAACTTCCACAGAAATGTCTCTTGCTCCCTCTGCCATCCCCATCATCTGTAAGATCTCCAAACGATTGCTTCTCTTTCTATTCCTGTTCCGCTCACTCTACATCATGCAACACAAACTAACCATCAATTTACAAAATAAGTTGATTTTTTTATAAGGGAGAAATGGTCTGCAGGCACATTCTGTAAGTGTGAAGTACACTGCTGGACCTGGAGACAGTTGTGTCACTTTTTTTTCTTTTCTTTTCTTTTTGTAGGCTGACAAGCTGCCTTTGGACAGGTGTCCTCTTAACCTGTCCCACAAACCAGTGCCTAGGTGACAATTCAAGTTCAGCCAGTCACTGACAACTTGCTTGACTGGTAAATGACCAAGCTATCAGATAACATAGACCAGCTAAGGCCTTTTTCCTGAATGAGGTTGACTTAAATTTCTTGCCACAGTCTGCTTTGGGACTGTCTAAGCGTTTGCTTGATGAAAAATGCTAACTAGCTGATTTGGGAGCACGTGCAAACTGACTACTGGTCCAAAGAACTGTGCGCCCAAACCTGTCATCACAGATCTCTGTTTCAAAGATGGAAAAATGCATGCATGTAGATGTAGATACAGATTCAGATGCAGATGTGGAAGGCAGGGTAAAGGAAACTAAGACAACGAGGCTTAGCTTTTCTGTCCATGGGCCCATCTGAACCCTCTGGCCAACCACCAGCCCTTCTCCCAAAACAGAATGGCAATATAAACCCTGTTTATTAGAAAAATGCAGAAGTAATTGAAGTCCCTCTGGCCTTCCGTGTTAGCAACATGTTTCAGTATAATAACACAATGATAAAATCCTTGTTAGTCTCAAACTAATGAAGTACTATTCTAATCTTAGCAGGAAAGGCTAGATGTGTCTTTAGATACCTGAAGATCTATAAGGAGGTCTGGGTCACCAGAGGTAATTTTCCACCTGTAGGTGTGGATGATGGTCAGCTCTCACTTAGGAACATGGTTAAACATCTGCATAATCTTTCTAGAGAGTAGCCAGCTAATTTTATCTCTGAAATTCTGCATATGAAACACATTCTTGTCGTTACATGGCAACGTAAAATCAACAAGCAATCCTTTCTGAAACAAATCCTTAGAACTATTTCTGAAAAAAAAAGGAACCATGGAAGAGTGCCATATTAAAAAAACTCCAGCATTTGCAAATAGCTATTACAGTCTGTAACGTTGCAGCATGTTTTTAAAATAGCTGTTTTAGGACATGCATGCTAATATCAGTCTGTTGGTCTTAGAAAGATACTATTAAATAGTCATCATCCTGTCGTCTACATTATAGGTTATGTGGATTGTAAAACAAGTTATACGAGAGATCATGAAACTATAGAACCTCAAAGGAACTACTGTGTTTTTTCTGGTAAGCAGAAACGTTTCTTTTACTCATAAGACACTCCTTTCACCTTTTAGTAATGTCTAAAGCATAATTAGCAAACTGCTTTGAGTCTAGACATTTTTAACTTTAAAAAACTAATAAAATATTACTTACCAGTTTTCCTCTAGACTAAAAATGAAAATACACCATTCAATTTACCACTGATTTTTATAACCTTCTGCACTCCTTCTCTCCTAGCCGGTGTATGGATCCCCTTTCTCCCTGGATCACATGAAAGTGTTCTATTAATGTGAATTGGCTTATGTTTGAGAACACTATGCTGGAGAGCTATGAAGTGTAAGGAATCTGACCCAGGGATCTGCAGGGCTGTGACACATCAGTTCTTTACAGGAATTCTCAGTTGCTGGTTGAGAATAACACAAGATAGGTTTGGTACACGGCGTGCAGTCTGCTGTCATTGTTGATGTTAGTAAACCTTTTGCCTAAGGCAGTGAGACAAGTTCTGTGATACACCACTGTAACTGGAATTTTCCCCTCTGGCAGTCACTCCAGGACTGCAGTGCCAAGTGTCAGGCTGCCTCTCCACCCGACTAACTCAGTAAGTTGGGAAAACTATTCACCACTAAAACACACACAGCCACAGCATGGCTGGAAGCAATAGCTGCATCAAGAAAAACACTGCAAGTCAGCACTGCTCTGCATATTTCCTGAGGAATGCATTGCTGGAGTTCAGAACAAACATTCGAGGTCTGGGATTGCTACGAGAGAACCTGGCAGAAGAAAAGTCTCCACCACCATTCCGTTCTAAACCTCTTTGCCAGTGTTTAGTCTTCTCTCGTCCACACACTTGGCAAAGAGGGAAAGCAGCCCGTCTCTTCTCACTGCGGATAAGATGGATCTCTCAGCCCACTTGTCTGAATGCAGTAGTAGAAGACAGACACACAACTGCGTTTTCTTTTGCTCCAGAGGGAGCAAATCTGACCTACTTTACCCACAACTGGAACATTATCTTCGTGATTCTTTCAGGAAAAATACATGCTGCTGCAGTATAGGTGACTCAACTATAAAATCCCATACCAGGGGTGGGAGAGAAAAGAAAGGAAACCCACACCAAACACCAAAATGACTTTAAGTAGAACACGTCTTCTGTTCCATCATTCCTCTGAAAGATCCTCCCTTGGAATATATTATTTCAGACAGGAAAAAGTTGTTCCTTTCTTCATAGATTAAGTTACATGCCTTTAACCGCACGTAATAAAAACAGAATGAATTCAGTGCAATGTGTGAAGAAATGACTGAATTGTTAGCATAAAGCCAATCACAGAAGCACTTAGGTTTAACAACACTGTTTGCATAGTGTTGGCAACGTCTGAAAGGTGATAACTGCCAGAGACTGCCATAAGGAAAAGGGAATTCCTATGGATTTTCTGAAGAAGAGAGAAATTACTGCCATATCAGAAGTTCAGTGTCCAAATAACTGCATACAGTTATGCACAATATTGTGGCCACAACTCCACAGAGCACTAACTGCCTTTTCATCGTTGTTGTTGCAAAAACACGTTCTGCATTTGACTTTAATTCCTTTGTTTTTCCATTAGAAACGCATTGGCCAGACCACCAAGGCAGCAGCAGTCTGGCTATTCTCCACTCTGATGCATCATTGATGTACGTATATATTTCTTGATCCTGCTTTCAAAGCTCTGTTTCGTACTTTTTTCTTTTTAAATAAATTACTCTTTGAGTATAATGAGAAAGTAGAAGGCATTGGGCGTTTTAGTCTGTGCCAAGCAGGACTCTCACATGTTAATGGAGCAACATTGTGTCAGTCCTTCACTTCATGAAACATTCCAAATCAATGAAGGATTCCCGATGCCAAAAAAGGTTTCATCCTGTCTGCTTTCTCCCCCTGACATCACAGCAGATTGGGTCCCACGTGTTTTGCAGAGTTCTATTAATAATTGTTCCTCTGAAAATACCTTCTTGCACTTACACCACGTACGCTGTGATCTGATGGGCTGTAACCTAACCCACAGTACTGGAAGGATATCTGGTGCCACATTGTTACCTCCCATAGCATGATCTGTAAACATGGAAAGAAAAGCTCCTGCAAGAACCTTGTGTATAAATGTATAACTGTGCATTTCTACTTTAAGATAGCCACACTCATTTAATGAAAGTCCACTCACCTGTATTTGCTTGCAGAGCTGGCAGCTGAATGGCAAGTATCTCAGACATTGCATTTCTCATGTTTTCAGTTAGTCTAGCACCCGTTATGTTTATTATCTTTATTTCAGGAATAATTACCGCTGTGCATCTGGTCTTATGTTGCAATTTTGTTAGATAATAATAGCTTGCTTTCTCTCTTCATCCTGAACAGCAGCACTTATTTCGGAGCATTCAAGGGAAATGGAAGAAAGTTGATGCTTTACAACCATATGGAACATTGCTAGGCATGACTGCTGTCTCAATGTAAGATGTGTCTTCTTCCATTAAAGCAAGCAGACTGCAGACCTTGACCTAGCCAAGACACACAGTTAACACCACTGGTAATTAAGTTCTCAGCACCATAAGAAATAGCATCATCTCTCTTTATTTGATGTCAGTGGGGACTGTTTTGAGCTGCTTCCTGAGACACAGCATCTGCCTGAGCTTCTGTGTGTTGTGAGTTATACAAAACACGTGCTGCTAAGAATGAGAATTCAGTTGGAGACTGCAGCTGAGTTCCACTTGCCGGATAACCAGTGCTGGCACAGTGGCTCTGTGGCACTCTGTGTCATGAGACAACACACTGAGCTTGTGCTGCCTGACGCTTCCACCCCTGAAACCCTGCCCTTTGGAAATGCTGTATCTTTATGCTCAGTGCTCACACATTTGCTTCCTCCAGGTGAGCCAGCAGGAGGAATGTAGCAGTAAATGCTGAAAGTCTTTCATACTACACAGTATTCTTGTTAGAAACAAGTTGTTATGCTGCACAATGCTTGCTAGGCTCTCATTATGCTTTTTAGTGCTGAATTTTTAACGTGTTGCCTTTTTCAGAACGCTTTGCCATGTTATGGCATGTCTGAGACAAAGAGCAATCTGTGTAACCGATGAATAAAAGGCTCTGCGAGAAAGGTCAGCCGTGGATTCCAAGAAAGCAAGCATCATCTGAAGCACAAGACTGATGTTTGTCTGAGGCTGGATAAATGCATTTCCTCTGCAATGCCCTGAGCCTGGCAGGCCGCACTGAGCCGCGCACCGCTTCACCTTTCACAACTTTCAGTCCTGAACAAAGCGGTCGCCCTAAGAAGCTTCGGATCGGCATCGCGACAGCAAGAGGTGATCAGCCTTATTAACGCAAGAGGCGACCACCTTTATGAAGGCAGGAGCGAGCACCTTCATTAAGGCAGGAGGTGCGCGGGCTGCTGGACTGCGGCGCATCTGCGCCCTCTCCCGGTTCACCCGTTGTAGCGGATGATGACACGCGCTGCGCGCGGCATTCACCGGAAATAACCGCTGCGGGCGGTTTGATCGGCGAACGGGCTCAGGCCGGCTTCGAGCTCCGTCCCGCCGAGGGACAGAAGCGCGGTGGGCGGCAGGGAAGCGCAGCGCAGCCCCGGCCCCAACCCCGCAGCTCCCGGCCCTGCCAACTCAGGGCAGGCGCCGCCCCGCCGTTGCGCCGGGCGAGAGCGGTTCAGCCCCGCCCGCTTCTCCTACGGCGGCCGCGCGGGCCCGAGCCCCGGCAGCGATGGCCGAGTCGGATGCAAGCGGCGATTCCTTCTCCCCGCGGAGTTCCGGCTCTGCCCGCGGCCGCCTCTCGCTGTCGTCCGCCTCTCGCAACGGCTCCGTGTCGCAGCGCAGGCGGCGGCGGCTCGCGGCAAGCCTCGGCCGCCCGCCCGCCTCCGAGAAAGGAGACGAGGAGGATGAAGAGGAGGACGAGGAGGACGGAGAGGAGCCGGAGAGCGAGAGGCCGCGGCCGCCGGGGAGCTCCGAAGGCGGCGGTGATGAGCGCAGCAGGAGGATGATCCGCAACCAGTACCGAGAGCTCATCTGCAGCGTACAGCGTGAGGCTGGGCCGGGGGATGTGAGCCGTGAGCCAGGCTGGCAGGTGCTTCCGCCCCTCTGCTCCGTGCTGGAACGGCTCACCTGGAGCGCTGCGTCCGGATGGGCTGCGCTCAGTGCGGGAGGGACGCGGAGCTGTTGGAGCGCAGTGCAGAGCAGGGGCACAGAAGTGAGCAGAGGGGTGGAACCCCTGCCTGCGAGGACAGGCTGAGCTGGGGCTGTGCACTGTGCGGAAGGTCACAGCAACCCCAGGAAACCCTACGGGCTTGGGGGGGAGTGGCTGGATTGCTGCCTGACTGAAAGGGACCTTGGTGTGCTGATGGACAGTACTGAGTATGAGCCCAGGTGGCTGAGAAGGCCAATGGCATCCTGGCTTGGATCAGGAATGCTGTGGTGGGCAGGACTAGGGAAGTAATCGGCACTGGTGAGGCCTCACCTCGAGTGCTGTGTTCAGTTTTGGGCACCTCAGTACAGAAAGGACATGGAGGTGCTGGAGCAGGTCCAAAGGTGGGCAACAAGGCTGGTGAAGGGCTTGGAGAATATGGCCTATGGGGAGAGACAGGAGGGACTGGGGCTGTTCAGTTTGGGGAAAAAGAGGCTGAGGGGAGACCTTATTGCTGTCTTCCAGTATCTGAAAGGTGCCTACAGTGAGAGTGGGGTTGGTCTCTTCTCACTGGTGACAGGATGAGGGGAAATGGCTTCAAGCTGCACCAGGGTAAGTTTAGGTTGGATATCAGGAAAAGCTTCTTTACAGAAAGGGTTGTTAAGCACTGGAATGGGCTGCACAGGGAGGTGGTTGAGTCACCATCCCTGGATGTGTTTAAAAACCGTTTGGATGTGGTGCTCAGTGATTTAGTAGAGGGTTGTTAGAGTTAGGGTAGCATGGTTAGGTCACGGTTACACTCAATGATCTTTAAGATCTTTTCTAACCTGAGCGATTCCATGATTTAGAGTGGATATGATGAAGAAGATATTAATGATAAGGGTGCTGAGGCACTGTATGGGGTGCCCAGGGAGGTGGTGGTGTTTGAGCCTTGCAGACAGCCAGAATGAGGGGATGGGGCAGTGAGCACCTGATGGGGCTGTGGGTGTCCCTGTGCACTGCAGAAGGTTGGACCAGATGGCCTTTAAGGTGCCCTGCCAGCTGAAGTGGTTCTATGAGCAGCTCTCCAGATAATTGCCTGTGTTTCTGCTTCCTCCACAGAGGTTTCCACTGTGTTGCTTTTCTCAGTGAGGCATTACAGCTGTGGTTTAGTAAGCAGTGCCAAACTTAGCGAGGTCTAGTGCTTATTGCTTCCTGCAGGCTGAATGTGTAGAGCTGTTATAAAAATACAGCATGGTTTATGGATTGGTCAGTCTGTGCTTAAGAAAAAACAGCAGTGCTGTCTATGCCAGTGCACTAAAAGAATGGCAGTAACTAAGAACTGCGCATCTGAAAGCCTTGTTAAATCATGTGCATGCCTCAAATATAAGTAAGTGTGTTTAACCTGGTGACATTCAGAAATCACCAAGCATGTATCTTTTTGCCTTTGTTTTTTATCCCTTTGTTTCCTGAAGTCCTTAGTTGAAATGGATGAGGTGAGCAACACAGAGACCCCAGCAGTATTTAGTGGCTGCTTTGGCACAGATATGGGCATTTAGCTGCAGCTAAGAGGAACCTGGGATCTATCAACTTTGAGCTTTGCAGTAAAACTCGTGGGATGTGTGTAATTAACACAACTTCAGTAAGATGTGATGTGTGAACAGGACAGTTTTGATTAAGGTGTGTGTATGTATGTATTGATACTTCTATATTTACATAATTTAGGATTTCATTTGTATCCTTTCCCCCAGAAAATCGTGAGGATATGCTGAGTTCCAAAAGCAACAGGCTGACGGAAGCTTTGGAGGAAGCCAATCAACTGTTCACTGGAGGTAACAAATTCTGTAGTCCTTGTCAGGACTTGTCAGAGGTGGTGGATTAACAGCCAAATGTGAGGAGACAATACTTTAATAAACAAAGAAGGGCAAATGAATGAAGCTGACATCCAAGTACTTTATCAGAAATATTAAAACATAATGTTAAGCTAAAGAGGAATTGTTTGAATAAGGTGTTATGAGAAGAAAATCTAATTACAGTAATGTTTGTGCTTAGAAATGCTTTGTGCTTTATCTTGACTATGTAGGATAGAAGTAGTACTCAAAAGATGTAACTGTAGATGGGTTTGTTTCACTTGGAGGGGAAAAAAACCTCAAATGTTGAATGAAATGCTTTTTCATTGTTACAAGGTGACATGTTGGTTCTCTGTGCTTGCCCTTGTTCAGCCATCCTCTCCTTTTCCCTTTTCTAATGGAAATGGCAGTATTATGTAAGTAATTGTGTTAGAGGTCATTGCAATAAAATGGTTTACAAAGCTCCACGCTGAGGATCCCCTGTATGCTAAATTTGGTTTTTGACAACTGTGTATTGCTAACACACAGTCTTTTTCTTCTGTAACAGTTTCCCGTGCACGAGAAGCTGCATTGGATGCCCAATTTCTTGTCCTGGCATCAAATCTAGGAAAGGAGAAAGCCAATGAGTTGCGCTCAGAGATCACAACGTTTGATTCACTAACATTTGCAGAAGATTTGGTAAATTCCACACTTAGGCTTTGCCTATTTTTTTTCTTTTTATAGACTCATAAAAGAAAAGTCTGAGATTGTGAGGCAGCACCTGCCAGTTCTGATGGGACATAACTGTCTTCCTCTGAATTTCCTTTATTAATGTTCTGATTAGTTTTGCTAATTGCTTTAAACAGTGGGTTCAGCATTTCCAATTTGTGTAAGTGAGAATCTTAACTCTTAATGTAGGCATTTTCCTCTCCCCATTGTTGTACTACTGCTGCTTTGTTATAGTTTAATAGTGCATACTTTTAGGGTTGTCTTAAACGCTTTCTTTGATAGACAGCGTTCTCTTGGTTCACACTAAGCAGTTTCTTTATCTAGTCTGCTGCTTTATGTGTTTTTGAATGGAATTCTCAAGGTTCCACGTGTATTATTCAGATGTTTTTAGAGATGTCAGTTTATCTGTTTTTTGCAGTGGCCAGATGGAAGAGTGGCTTTACGATACCACTGAAGCAGACTCTTTCCCCCTCCCCTCCAGTTTTCAATTCTTTATTAAAGCTGATTCCTGGGGAAGGACTGGGGGATGTAAGGTTGGGCCAAATAAGCTGTTGTATGAGATTTGAAATGATAGGCTTCCTGGAGCTATGTGGTGGTCAAAAACTGAGAGCTAGTGCAAAATGCATTCCTGCTCCATATGTAATTTAAAGACTGTTAATGATTGGTTTTATTTATCCATAGTTTTTCATTGCATTACTGATGCTGTGTAGTAATTACTGGAAACAAAAATACTATGTGTAAGTGGAGATGTATCATGTTAGCTCCTTACAGAAATCAGTGAGTCTTTTATCAGTGCAGCTGTTGAAATAGTGGGGCTCACAATCACTATTAGCTGAAAGCTTATGGGGAGTTGCTGCTGCAACCAGTAGGGTTATGGCAGGAGTCGACTCTTGTTCTTGATTTCATTGACTGGATAAGCACTGCGCTCTATTTTTGTTCCACTGATAATTAGAGGGCAGAAACTCATGTGACCTTTGTCTAGGAGTGATGATAATCTAAGCAATGAAAAACATAAGAGGCTGTGTGTATTCTGCAGTGTCTGCTGTCGTTTGTAATGTAAGAAAGAGAAGTTTGTTGAAGGGGGAAAAATACAATTCTTTGGGTCTAGTGAAGTGTCTGGAAATGCTAGATTGATTCGTATTTGAAGCTTAAGATCTCTTGAAATGAGATTTAAATTTTGGTTCCGTTTTCCTACAATCCACCCCATGGTTTTTCCATACAGTGGTTTAGACAACTACAGCTCATTCATTTCTATATGAAATTGATTCACCGCAAAACACTGATTCTGGATTTTGTCATCTAAAGTAGATGAAAATATCTGATGTTAAATCCTCTGTTTAGATACAGCATGACTTGCCTGTGTAAGTTATGAGTCTGTGCTTTTTTGTATTGATTGAGCCATCAGGAAAATCAAATTTCTTTTGCTACACTGTGACATTAAATAGAAATCTAGTAGGGCAGACAGCAATACAGTTTTTCACCATTGGTCTGTCTGCTAGTCTTTCTTGATGAGAATTCTCACTGCAGTTTTCTTTTGCCTTTTGAAGCTGACATTCATGGGTATAAATCGCACGGAAACAGAGGGAAACGATAGCGATTCTGAGAACACGTCAGGTGGCTACTTACCTAGCAGTGCCTGGTATAAGCTGGGAGAAGAAGCAGAAAAGTACTTCAGGAGAGCACCTTCTTTTCATTACATGTAAGTTTATTGCAGCACAAGCTAACAGCCCTAAGTGGTTTTAATTCTGATTAATTACCTTTAATGCCCTGGACTTGAGTTGAATTTAATCTCAAGTCAGCCCTTAAATGAGGTCTACACAGGCTCCGCT